AGAATACTATCATACAGCCTTTTGGCGAAAAGTATGGTTCAGGTTCTTGCTAAACAAGGCAAGATGAAATAAGAGTCCTTGCTGGGGAATGACTGCCTAGATGAGAATCTATTCCCTTTACTGTCCTTAGAAACAAACTGTTCAGTCATTAATTCAGGAGTGGAGAAAATTTTAACACTGTTGTTAAAAAGCCCTGTGGAATACCTCCGCATGCTGACCGTCTGATGCAAACACGTGGGTGACGGTCATCTCATTCTTCGTCAGTGTTCCAGTTTTATCTGAACAAATCACATTACAGCAGCCTAAAGAATAAATCATCACATATCACCAGAAGCATCAGGGTGAAACACAAGTCAAATAAAAAACTCTGAAAGCCTGTCCTGCTTCTCTGAATCTTGTACAAATCAAGCTCATTGAGCATTTCAGATATTTATATAACTTTCTCTCACATGCTTGCTTTGTCATAAGGTTAAGTTCTGAAATTAGAACTTTAAATTAAATACCAATAAATACTTTTCTTATTTACAGTTAATGTCAACACAGCTACCTGACATTATCTTCACATCATTTTACATAATACCTATTCTAGAAAGTTTCAAGAACCTTGAAACATAAACCTATATAAGTTTTTTCAGACATAATTTTAAAGTGTTTTACCATCTCAGTATTAAAATGCAAACTATAAATGAACTCCAATATTTTGGGAGTCCTAAGATTAAAAAAATTTTTTAAAAAAAGTCACCAAACTTCCACACCACACATAAAGTTATAGCAACACAACTGCTATATATTTATTATCAGCAAAATCAACTCAGGTGTTTATTTTAGGGTCTGTAACTATCAATTATAAAAGAAAAAAACTATTAATTTTACTCCAAAGCTTTATTTGCTATCTGTATTTTTTTTAAACATGATCTGACCATTACACTATTCCCTAAATTGAAAAGATCATTTTAGGGAAACTGTATCCTGAGTAACAGGCACTTTGAATTACCTTTTTGAGTTGTTAAAAACTATACTCAGTATTGCCACAAGTGAAACTGCACTATGCAAAAACCTTTATGAAAAAAAATTGTAGAATCCAAAGATGAGTCGCTGTTGAAGGGAACAAGCGCGCCACTGCCCAAGTTGCCTTTACCACACTTACCCAGGGTCTCAACTATAGGCAGCTTTTTCACAATGGCCCTTTTCTTCACCATTCTCATAACACCAAGAGCTAGAGTCACTGTGACCACAATGGGAAGCCCTTCAGGAATTGCTGCTACAGCCAAGCTGAAACCAACAAATACATGGTATTGAAACAGAGACCCACTGCAACTGGCTTTACATAAAATAGACGCTGGTAGAAATGCAAAATTAAAACTCTCAACACCAAAAATGGTCTTCTCTAGGGGGAGGGGAAGCTGGTTAACATTTACTGGGTACCAACTAGCTGCTAGGGTAAGTGAAGAGGCATCAGAAGGCCTAGATCTGTATCACTAGCTTCATCAGTTTTTACCTTGTTCACCAGAGCTACATATTATTGTCCCTCTAAAGTTTAATTTCCTCATCTATAGATAAAGGTAACAGCTAACAGGTGTTCAGAAAAATCTTTCACACAAATATTCATAACAGGACTGTTCACAATAGTCAAAAAAGATGTCCAGCTGAAATGTTCACCAACTGACAAACTGTGGACTAACAATAGACTAACAATAGTATTACTCAGTCCCCAAAAAAAGATTTGCTAAAACATGAATGACTCTTAAAACCATAATCATGTCAAAGAAGTAAAAACACATATGCATTTAAATGAAATATTAAGAAAGAGCAATTCCATAAAGATAGAGTTTAGTGCTTGCCACGGGATGGCGGGGGGGTGGGGGGACAGAGAGTGACTACTTAATAGTCGTAGGGCTTTCTATGGGGTCTGAAAATGTTCTGACACTAAGAGGCATTCACAGGCAGGGCTTATGATGATTGTACATTATGAATGTATCTAACCACTGAAATGTACCCTTTGAAATAATACATTTTATGGCATGAATATTTTATAACAAAACTTTAATTGCTTCATTTTTCCTTTATCATATAAAAACCACCAAGTTAAATTTCTCATTTTTTGTCCCTTTCCAAGTATGCTCTTCACTCTGCTATAGATAAGAACATATACATACTTAGTCTTCATTCTAACAGTTTCCTACAATCTAATTTTTCTTTAGCATCAGCTAATGATAGCATTAGTATCCTGTTCTATATCCAAAATTAACTTTTTCATACTTTACATTTTGATGCTAAAAGCTGAAAATCAATGGATAACATTTACCACTGGTTAAATGGTATACACTGAAGAATCAAGAAATATGTGTTACCACTAATACTTCTTTCTTTTGAACTACTCTGAGCTCAAATAGAAGGCTTTTTCTTATGTTTCCATTAAGTCTCACTATGCCAGGAAAAAGAGACATCATAATTTTACAACCTAGATCAAATGGGTTTATTATTCTTTTATAGTTAAGTCATTTTATAAATAATTTACAGAATAATTGTGAAAAATTCATTAGAAATTTTAATTTGATTTTGACCCCAAACTATATTCCTAAATTTGAAACTACATCTTCATTCTTTGAAGGCACCTAACTGCTCATCAGCTGTGGAGGAGGAACCTGGATCATAGTTACCTTATAAATAGTGACTATAAATTCAAATAACATTTTCAACAGGTTGTAAGCTTTTACTGATTCTAATTCTTCTACTGGTATTTATTTCTTCAAAATGCAATGCTTCCAAAATGCTGATGGTTCCTAACTTTGCTGAAGGCAGTCATCTTTGCAACAATTGCAAAACATTTTCATTTTTAGACATATAAACACCAATTATACTGATGAAGGCAATGAAGTTTTTAATTTCTGTGTCATCTATGCCCTTTTCATCACTTTTATACTGATACCAACCTTTAACATTAATCCACTTACAAATGTTATGAAGTAAATGTTGGTAAACTCCTTAAGAGATGGAAGAATACTATCATACAGCCTTTTGGCGAAAAGTATGGTTCAGGTTCTTGCTAAACAAGGCAAGATGAAGTAAGAGTCCTTGCTGGGGAATGACTGACTAGATGAGAATCTATTCCCTTTACTGTCCTTAGAAACAAACTGTTCAGTCATTAATTCAGGAGTGGAGAAAATTGAGACTATCGCCATTCAAGGAGTCAATCTTGAAATTTCACTTATCTAATTCAATTTCACCCTCATCATTAGCATCTATAGAGAATTTTCTGTCTTGTCTAACAAATGTGAAAATTCTGCCAATTATTCTTTATGCTATAATGTTCAAAAATGAAAAATTCTCACTGCAAAAAAAAAAGCCACTACAAAAATTGTGTCTCTAGACTTTTAAATAATAATGTAAACACTCTACACAGCATAATAAAGTGAAAGGATAATAGAGTAGTGATTATATATTATGGTATCAACCTTCTCAACAGTCCTATCACTCTTCTGCTTCCTCATTTCCTCATTGATCTGCTCACATGCAGCAGAGCTGGAGGTAATGGTTAAAATAATTGCTAGGGTAATGATATAGCAAAATGTTTCAAGACATAAGAAAAATAAGGTCATTAAAGATCACAGTGTATTAGACTCATGGGCCCAATGGATTCACATCATAATTGCAAAGCAGAATCAGTTCTTAGCCTATTAAAAAATTTTTAATCTTTCTCCATCAGAAAACCTTAAAGAAGTCATGATGTGTTAAGTCTTCACAAATAATTAAAACTGAGCAGTAAGAAAATGCTCAAAAACTAAAAATGAGTCCTACAAATATGTCAATGACTAACATCTCAAAATTATGCCCCACTTTGAACTTAGTTTATATTTAAACCAAGATATTTTATACATTTTTAAACAAGAGTTTCAAATTGTATTTTTGCTCCTTTGAGAAAAATTATATTCCTTCACCAAATAGTAAATGTATTTACCTTCTTACATATAGTTGCAAATTACCAGCCTCGTTATCATTCTTTTATAGACGACTTTTTTTTTTTTTTTTAAGTTTGACAAGGATGTATCAAGGTTGGAGTTTTTCATTTTGCATGGCATTTGGAGAATCATTTCAAACTATAATTATGCTTTGCTTAAGCTTGAGAAAATATGTCATTTTAAATAATATTTCTTCTTACTGCCTTTTTGAAAATCTTTTTAGACAGACCTAGCACTTAGTGAATAATTCCCTATCCCCTTAATCACATTCTGTTTGGACTTTTTACTCTACTCTTCAGGGGGCCCTCCTTGATTTTGTACTGTAGCCCTTAAACTGAACTCCACTTCAGTCATCAATCTTAATTGCTAAAAGCTAGTTTCTTCTGGGATCCCTTTTGTATCATGAATGCACTTTCTTCACAAACCTCTAAAAATATAAATGGTTTCTATTTATTTGTTTTTTTCTTCTATTTCTTGAATTTTTCATCTTTCTCTGGGATTGAACATTCAATTTCTATATTGTAGCCTTTTTTATTTTAAGATGTAGTTTTCAATTTGGTCATCCTTAGTTGTCTCTTTACATATAAAATATAATATTGGGTTGATAGTACTGGGCATAAAGCATTTGTTTTCTCCACTGCCATATATGTACATTTTAATTTTCCTGGAGTTCATTTCAACATATGAATTCTGAGCTCTTCAAGAAGATACATTATACTCTTAAGTACCCTTCCGTAATGGAACATGAACTATGCTTATGAGAAAAATAAGTGAAAGAAAAGAGACATCAATTAATAATCTATTACAACTTACCTTACACTAATGGTGAACATTTCAAGGATATCTTTTCCTAGTAACCAGCCAACCAACATGATGATACCTGGAAGAGAATGAAACAGCTACTTTTCTTTTATTTCAATTCATCTCAGTATAGAAGAGATAGAAGTTGAGGGAAGCCAAACTGGGGGGGCCTGAAGGCCTACAAGGGAGAGTACATCAGATCACTATTACTAAATTTTACGAAATCCTGAGGCAAAGGAGATTAAAGAGAATGCTGCTGAAAGCACACACACTCAGTCTCACCTGGTAGGTGGCCGCTGCTGCCACCTATCCACAAAGCAACAGTTCTGAGAGTTGCCAGTGTTAAGAAAATATTACCAGTATTTTCATACAATGAGAGTTTTGAAAAAAGAAGGTAGCACAAGATGCCACGAATGAAACAGTATCATCGGTTTTAGTAAAAGAAGCAATTTCAAAATCGTATTCTAGATAAACTTGGACACTTGAAACAAGTTTTTTTCATCAGGATGATCCAAATGGTGACCTCCTTAGATTCTATCTGAAATATTATCATGACCAAAGAAATTATGACAATGACTCATACCAAGGGTCAGCTAAAGCTAGCCTCCTACATGACTTTGTACAAAAAGCTTGCTTGAATACAGTTATACCCATTCATGTACGTGTTGCCTGTGGTTACTTTCATGCTTATAACAGAATTACAACAGAGACCCACAAAGGCTATGTAGTTCACTAGTTTAAAACATTTACTCTTTGGTCCCGGGACAAAGAAATCTGCTGGCTCCTAATTTTCAACTTCGTCTCATCATGTTCCATATCCTAACGAAAGAAAGATCACAATGTCTGATACACTGTACTAAAACCAGGTAATCCAAAGGTAAGGTACATTTTTATCACTAAATTTGAGGTGGTTTCATTGTATAATATTAATATAGACTGGAAAAATTCTCCCAGATTTACCAAATTCACTGTAAGTTTTTAAAAACAGCAATAATCAATAAAGGAAGTCAAAATAAGAACAATGAAATACCTTCTATTTTATAATCAAGATGGATCAGTAGAATTAACATTTCAAGAATTATTTCACTGAAAACTGCACAGCAGAAATATTGCTCTAACATGGGGATACTAAAGTATTAAGCTAGCAAGAATAATTAAAATAATATCACAGAAAAATAAAAGACTTCAAAAAAACTAGGTACTTAAAGTATGATAAAAACACTATATGAAATTGAAGAAGAATGGATTTTAGAACTGAGGGTTCTAGGATAATTAACTAAATTGGAGCTAAAATGATGACCTTAGTAAGGTGTATATAAATACAAAATAAACTAGCAAAATGAAGCATCAAAAATAAAAACTAAAGAAGGTTAAATTAATAACACTCAAACTCTAGCATGGGAGAGGAGTGCGAGAACAATGTTAGCAGCCATCACCACTAAGCACATCGGGACGGGCTGCCAAAATCTGAGCGCGGCTGCTCCGGTGACACACAGCTCCCCCCAAGTCTGTCGTGTAGCCCTCAAAGACCACTAAAAACCTGAGGGGAAAACACTTCAAACTTAAACAACAAAGTACTAATGTCTTACAGACAAAAGTTGTTACCAAACTAAAAAAATAGTAGACTGGCAGTCATAAGACAACATGCACACAGCAACATGCTCAGTTTCTGATAATAAACTGAAATAAAATGAAGCTAGGGCTTTCATTCTCCTGTTAAGCTAAAGGCAACACTCCAAGTTGACAAGAATGCTGCAAGAGAGACTTTTTACCCTGCCAATGAAGCAAAAACTTTTAAAAACATACTGAAAATTAAAATTACATGGCTACACTGGCCCAATAATTTGCTGTTAACAATATGTCCTAAGGAAATGAACGTTGTTTACAGTAAGATACCTGCACTGAAGAATTATTTACATAGTTTTAAAATTCAAATAAAAGCTACATATGTAAATAAAATAAGACCTCATATACAATATGTAACTATTTTTAACATACATTCAATAAATGGAATACTGTGTGATGTTTAAATATGTTTAGGTGAGCATCTACTTAATGACAAGATGTTTATGATAGGTATTTGAAACTAAAGAGCAGTCCATAAAGCAGTATTATCACATTTTGTTAAAAACTAGGACAAGTGACTAATATATTTACAGAATGCTCTCTGATCACAGAAATTAGTGTTCTAGTTTATCTTTGTAGAGAAGGACAATGGCT